CTTCGACACCCAAGGAAGAAGCCTGAGAAGACGTACTCGGACCCTTGAGTAAAAACAGTGATTGTAATACCAATAGCATTATTTCAAAATAGCACAAGTGCTACATTTAGAAAGGAGGCCAGCTGTGTAATTTACTACCATAATATAGAATTCTGATAGTAGAATAGGACACATGACAACAAAATATCAAATAGGACCACAGCTTTCCTACATCATACTTACTGAAGTCAACACAGAAGCCCATTGCAAAACACTGTCCACAGTGGGACCTGAAACCACAGAGGTAGAGACTTGAGCCGCTGTACTGGGAGCATTCACCTAATTAAAAACAAAACAAATGTTTTGATGTAGGCACACTTGGTAGTCAGTCAACTTCTATCAACAGCACAGTGGAGCAAGTTAACAAAACACTTTTGCTGACCCAAGTTTCGGCCTCTCTTGTATTGCCATTACAGTAGAGTCACAAAGTAAAATGTCTGTTTTTCCATAAAAATTAATCCCTGGCATAGGTGTCATTATTTACACTGGGGACGCTGGGGACATGTCCCCACCACATTTTGAAATGGCTGATTTTGTCCCCATCACTTTTTGAAAGCATTTGTTAAAACTGTTCTAAAAAAATAGCTTGCAACAAGAAATGTTAACCTACAAATGAAAATGCTTTGAGAAAGATGTATTTGCACAATAAGAAACAAATGTGAATTGTCCAAAAAAGTAACTTAAGCTAAATAAAAACAAGCTGCTGTTTACTGCATTATATTCTGTTATATTAATATATGAATGATCACCTGCTAGCTGATTTCTTTTGTTTCCCTTTATCTAAATAAAAATATTTTTACCATAAATTAGAGCAGAAAATGTCTCCAGAATGAAGGAAGTGTTTAGTGCTCTAATTTTCTGGGGGAGGACCCCCCCACACCCCTCTCATATATTTCATTTTTAGTCAAATTGGTGTTAAAAATCTTTTTGACTTGTTCTCATGCATCATCATGCTCATGACCCAAGTGTATAATCGCACCCTTAAGCTGAGCCCTTATGTCCCCACCAAATTTCAACACAAAGTGAGGCCCTTGATCCTTAAGAATTTTGAAATACCCAGAAAGTGATTTAACACCACTCATCGTCATTCTGAAGGAATTTGAAGAATCTTATGAAGTCTCCTACAATCATCAGGATTACATATCCTGTTTGCTGCACAATAACAAACCCGTTTCTCATATTGTGCCACTGTTTCCTAATCCAGACACAGATGGTAACCTGAAAGGACATGCATATGCTTGAATTTCTACGTCCTTTTATCGTTACATTTGTCTGAGTTCGTATTTTTTCATGCACCATGAGAAAGGAGCTTGGTTAATTCCATTAACATGTTTTGTGCAACAATTTCAATTTGACCTTTTCACTAACATTACATGGACGGCCTAATCCATGAAGTGAAAAGTGACATTTCCCTATTTCCAGTCGCACATTCGCTCTAAAACACAAAAATGTGATTTCTAGCCAGCGTTATCTATAAAAAAAAAAACAAACAAACACATATTTTACAAGTAAAATAAATATTTACCTCTGTTCGGCTCCTGTCATCTGCTGGCAGAGGTGTGCGGAGGTGCTCCAGCTGTCTTCCAGAGAAAACAGATGGAATTACGTTGGACTTGAGGATTTTTCGGGGCGTTGTTTTCATAAGTTCTGCCTGTATGTCCGGTTCGTAATCTTCCGGTTTAAAATGCTGGCTGCAGACTCTTATATTGCCGTATTTACTTACTGGTGTGTTTTCATCAAATTTGGGGTTCTGTACGGCCTTTAACCACTTTCTGCATCGCTCTGGGTCTCTTGTAGGCAGGGAGTGGAACACGACTCCCCGGGACCTCGCCTTCTTGTAGCCCTTACAGCCCGGCACAGAGCACATCCCCGGCATCGCTACACAAACACAAACCAACCACAGTGGCAAAGAAACGACGAGTTACAGACCGACGACTGCCACCATTCCTGAGTTGTCTGTAGTACAGTGACCAATAGTCGGCTCCAGCAATTGGTGAACGTGACCACTAAGCGTAAACTCAAGAATGTAAAGACGTTTTCGCTTTGCATTCTGGGAAACGTAGGACTAAAGCTTCATTTAGCTCTGCTGTATTGAAAATGAAATAGAAAACCAGAGGGTTCCCCATTTTGCTAAGACCATATGCTGGCTATAACCTTTGATAAAGTCTTTGGCTATAACGCAAATTTTGGTCACGTGTTAACAAATGAACCATCTCCATGACATGATATGTATGTTTTTTTCCTTTGTCTGTTTAAATTTCTTATTGTATGTCTTTTGGACCGGGTGTGTGTCCTTAATAAAAGCTTGATTAGATTAGACATACTGACCTCCTTCCACCATAACGTTTCTTTTATAAAGTCAAGGGGTGGAAGCTCTTGATAATTTCCAGACTTTGTGGAAACTTTGTGCTAAAAAAAAAACAAACAACAACAACTAATCAAATGCCTTTTCAGAAGTCAAAGATGAACCTTCAAGCTCAAAATAAAAAATGTGTAAGAATGTTAAATGTATGTTTAGCAATATAATAAAAAAGCTTCACTCACTTTTTCTGACTGCAACATTTCAGACAATATTCTACAATTTAAACACTTCCATATGGAACTCAAAAATGGTCAATGTTAAATTAATAATCATCTTTCCTATTTTCATACTAACCATTTTATTGGAGTTCATTTGTGTTTCATTATAGATATTTTATATGTATATGTCAGTGTACGTCATGGAGAGTACCTCTCAGCCTTTGTAAACTTTGTAGTCTTCTGTGGCTCTGATGAAGCTTTGTCATGTCAGAGAAAATAACCTTGATCAAATAGTGATGTCTTCAGGGTTATCTCATTTTATGTGGAGACTACACATAAGCAAACTAGGTGCACATAGTTTGAAAGATGTTAGCGTTTACGGGGCAGACAGGGCCCAACAAAAGAGGCTTTTTGTTGAATTATATGAAATGGAGGAGCCAGTGATTCTGCAGCCTGACTCATACTCAACATATGGTCTGGATTTCTTTCTAGATATATTTCACACCATATGAACACAAGAACATGCTACAGTGCACAGAGCTAATCCCTTCAAATGTCCATTTATTATTTATATTAATTTATTATTTATTATTTTCTGCCAGTTCAACCACATACAGTTTTCACCCAAAATAGACTGAACCCCAAACACAGGAAAAATGACATTTTGGCTCTGAAATGAGGTGAATATTTTTACAGCACCAATTTCACTGTAAAGGGGGATGAATGAGTTAATCAGTTTATTAGGTACACCTAGCTAAAACGAATGCAGTCGAACACAACAGTCCAGCAACAAACCTTCTTGTTACAATGTTCACTTTTTGCTGAAACTGTTTTAGGGAGCTGTTGATTCATGGAGCTGTTGATTGTCCTGCTGTTGCTGTCGAGAGGTTTCTATCTTCATTGATATAAATGTGGTCTTCGCCTCTATCACAAGCAGCAAATAGGAACATTTGGAAGACCAATAAACGCTGTCCACCTTTGGGAAGAAAACGTGTTGGAAGCATCCCCTCTGACAGGTAGATAAAGGCTGCCATGTCGTTCCCCCCCTAACCCACACAGTTTGGATAACTCTGAAATAGCTGTGAAACAGTGTTACAGTAAATTCTCGTGTTCTGACTTTTGCTTACTTATTTGTTTATTTCCAATATTTGTGAAATAATGAAAATAAACAATAAACTATGTTAAAACTATTTTTTCATCCGAGTATTAATTGGACATCTGGTGAAGTTTGTGTGATCTGAGATTGTCCAACAGGTGGCAGTCTGGAATTGATAATACATGCCTCCATGTTTCAGTACATGAGAAAACAACCTTTAAATGACAAAGTATTCCCTCTTGCATGACTTTTAGGTTTTAATGTTCATCGCTGCCGACACATTTTTAATGGCATTGAGTTACAGGACATGGAAATCACACATACCTCTCCTCTACACTCCACAAGCTGCTGGAGGGTCCACTGTTTATACCCTCTTCATTTCCTAAACTATCTCAAAATCAAGCTGAAAACACTTTTAATTACTTTGAACGAAGTTACTGCACAAAAAACTAATGTCCAGAATAGTGACATGAGATATTTGATTTTCACATTAGGGGCTCTGTAATGATTTGTTTTCCAACAGGTAACACAAATACTGTATGAGTTCCTCTTAAATCCATTCAGGGACAAAATCACTTTCAGAAACTCATCTGGACGATTCAGAAAAGATGGTACTGGACCCATTTTTCTTATGTAACTAATATTAATAGGCATCTATAATAAACATGATTAATAATTATCCTATTGCACTTTCATTGACCCTAACAGGCTTGACCGTGAAGTTGGTTTTATACTTGTTATAACTTCCACTAATTGAATTCAGTGAGACAGGGATGAAGAACGTGGAACCTTTCATTTTTAACAACACACTGTACCATCATACCGTATAATTTCTACCATTTATTAAATACACTGTCATCTTATGTAACTCGCTAGTGCCAAATACATGTCCAGGATGAACACCAGAACAGCAAACAACTCAAAACTCCACTGTGTTTACACTAGAAACATTTTGACATCCAGTACGCAGTCTGTTGACTATAAGTTGATAAAATACTACAGGCAAGGATAAAGTGTGCCGTTTTTACCCACTTAACTAGTAGTTTTTACTCGATCACGCTACAATTCAGTCTACTGTGTGCGGTGATTTCTGAACAAACGAGTTTAAACTTTCAGTTTCATACTTTTGAGTCAGAATACGGATCAGAATATATATATGTGTGAGTACATCTGCTTTGCAGTAAGTGTGTTGATGAGTACACAGTGCCAAAAAGTGTTGGTGGTTCTGGGACTGAGTGTACTCGTATAACAGGCCTCATTAAAAAAAACATCTGGATAAGATGGGAGGGGCAATCCCTAGTGATGCACCAACAACCCACTTGTTTCACAAAAAGGTTCACACATGTTTGAGTTTCATTCTTCATTTATATTTATTTTATTGAGATTGATTCACACTATATATATGCATGTCCAGTTGCTTCACCTGCACCAAAACAAAAATAAAAAAAATATGTTGAAATAAATTGTGATTATGAAGATTATGGTTAGAACTAATGTTAATCTTAAAGTAAACCAACTAAAACATCTATTATCAAACTTTAAAATCAATTCATTTGGTCCTAGGTGAGTAAAACAAACCCACCCTGAAAGCAGAAAACCTCTTTGTAGGAGAGAGGGGTCAAACCCAGGTTGCTGCAATCAATGGCACCTACGTACATGCTCATCCACCCCCCATGCATCTCCACATCCTTTTGATCTTTGCTATTTCAGTTTCATGTTTGTTCCTTTTTCATAATAGTTCCAGTCAAGGTCTGCCTCCTCTTTCACTTCATGCCACTATATGAATATGCTGAGAACACCCACACCAAACTGTTTTCTCTGACATGCAAGTTTATAAACCACTTAAACTCATCCACTTGAAACAAAATGTAAGCACCTTCGTGCAATGTTAGTCACATACAAATAAGGTCATCTGAGCATCTATCTATCCATCATGACAACTTTACAGGGCAGGTTGTATATGGTAATCATTGATAAAGACATCTGTAATAATATGTCAAACAGGTAGGCTACATATTTTTATTAAATCTTGCAGGAATAAAATTTGCATTTGTGATTCACTGGAGTAAAGTAGTGCTTTTTAACCGTCATGCAACGCTACTCCATTTATTAAACCACCTATTGTGCACCTTAAAACAAAAACAACTTATCCACAAATCAGCTGCAAGAGGCAGTAGCAAATAAAATGTGGAACAGACTTCTAAAAGACATTCATACTTTCATCAACGACAGACGTTGCGCATCCGCGAGTCACAGCGTCAGACAATTTGAACCCAACTTCACTGCAGTCCTCTTGTCTGGTTTCTCGTCAGCGCGGAGGAAAAAGTAGTTCCCACACAGCAGAAAGACCACGCCGCACTCTTGTTTTCCAGTGGCCTTGAAAATGTCAAGACATTTCCACAATTCCAAGACAACTAAATATTTTCGGTAAATGTAATAGCTTCAAAGCCTACTCGAAATATCTTTACAAATACCAACCTGTCTAAGAGCAGTAACGCTAGTTCCCTGTCTGCTCTCAGTCCCTCCTGTTCTTTCAGCGCTCTCCAGCGAGGAAAAGCTTCACCAATTGTTATCCGTGTTTGTCCTCGCCGTCGATCGCTTTCTCTTTTTTTTGCCTGTAATCCTTCGCCTGAACGCCGCGTCTCTTTTATACGTGTATCACCACAAACTTTTCTTGCACGCTTTCTTATGTTTTTCCCCCATAACACCGGCGCACTGTCAGGCTGCGGTCGAAAAGTATAATATTGGTACAAAACTATTACTATAGAAGCCTACCGTTATACTAATGACGTCATAATGAGTATGTAGAGCGTTCCGGCTGCATAGTATGTGGATTTTGTGAACATGAGAAATACCCGGGTTATTAGTATATTAGCAAGAATTTAAGTGTTAGCACCCTGAGTTTACTGGAAACCACCGGTCTCTTCGGACCAGGGGCATTTACAGGATAGATAGAAACATTTGGGGCTTAGCCCAGACCAGAAATCTTTAAAAAAAAAAATTTTTATTCAAAACATAAAACCATAGTGTAGGCTAATATATTGCAGTAAGGCTCTCGGGAATTCTGTATTACTATCAGATATGTTTTTCCTGTAGATCAATATTTTTAATTTAATTTCATCTCTGCTGAGTCAAGCACACAGGCATGACTGAAGTCTTTAAATGTGCATGTGGCACCTTTTCACCTCAATGATAAATCACTTCATTTTAATTCACTTATGGAGCTTTCACATCTAAAAGTCCACACCAAGGTCCGATCCAACTTTCATGTTTTGATACATTTTGATACATTCGGTTTTGGTTTGGTTTCACACTGCAATTCTGCGACCGCACTAAAGGACTTTACAAGACACACTTGCGTCCTGTTGTCATCATCTATGTGTCTCCCTATACTTGACATTGACTGGTTTACTAAACAGTTCAGCGGGTATCTTTGATAAGAATGAATGAATAAACAAATGAACATATGCATATTTACCACTATATTATTATGGCATTACTATCTGCAGCACCAACTATACTGAAGGCAAGTTCAAACTCGCAATTAAAACTGAACCATGGTTCAGTTTGATCCAGAGACTAACTCTTTTTGTCAGACCAAATTTCGTCTGTTTGGCCTGGACTGTGGTCCGTGGGAGGTTTCACACCTGCAATTTTTGTTCGGACCAAACTGAAAAGCCCGAAAGTCCGGACCAAATGAGGTAGGTGTGAAATCCCCCTTAGAAACTCTTTACTTTACTCTAATAGCTTCTGTGTTTCAGCAGGTTTTCAGCTCATGTTCAAAACTTACTGCACATTAATAATCTCTCCCACATATCTGTGTTCTCTGACATTTGCAGAATATATTTTGAGACAAAAGTTGTAATATTACGAGAATAAAATCGCAATCTAATGAGAATAAAGTCATCATTTTTTAACTAAATCTACCCGCCCTCTGCTGAGCAGGCTACCCTGTGTTATTGCTGCTGATATGGTAATAGACAGACACAGAACTCTTCAACAGAGGTGGAAAACCGAAACTGAAAACACTTGTGATCAGACAGAAATCTCACCATAAATCCACACAAATGTTAGCACAAATCTTCAGCACCTCTGATAAAGTGCAGTTCACAGCCACTTCAGAGGGAAACATCCTGGGGAGCAGAGAGACAAGTCAAACAGGCATCTCTGAGCAAGGAGGACAGAGACAGCAACAAGAGCGACAGGTGTCTGTGTTGCGGTCAGGTGTGTCATGTAATTCTCTCGCTACTTTGCGGAAACTGTTAACAGTTTATGTAGCAAATGAACTGACTGACAACAACTAACTTCACTGGCTTGATCTGCTAATACTCTGCTGCTTCATATATCAGTCATGTTATAAACAAACTACTCTATGTCCTTCCAAAACACAGATGAGGGGCAGTGACAACATAAATGCTTAGCGCCACAAAAAGGTGCATTATGTGTCAATAACATTTAGAAATGCTGTGGTGAAACAACAGTTGCTTGTTTTAGTGACTGGCATTATCGACTCTACTTTAATAAAGAACGGTCCAGTGTACCTTATGCTAAAGGAGATATGAAAGGAAGCACTAAAGCACCTTTCCTTAGCATTTAGAGAATTCGACCAGCTCTTACCCTGGCTGCCACTTAAGCCTAGTTTACATGACACGATTTTAAGCACACCTTGCAAGTTGCTGAGCTCGCCAGTTGTGTAGCGTGAACTACTCAATGACGTATCAAAGAGGCATCGCTGACGCCAGACAGATTTTTAGTATGCTAAATATCTGAAGCTGTCAGCTGACTCGAAATCCACAACCAGCCAAAGAGAGCAGGCAGCTGGCAGAGCACAGAAAATCCCTGCTGCCTGCGGGTGCTTATGCATTCTTTCACCCATTTAAGACTCCCGTCACAAGACAGCAAATCGTGTAGTGTGAACAGCACTGCGATCTGCCGGCACTGAAAGTCCTGTAGATTGCACTAGGCTTTAGATGTCATGTCATCCAGTCAGGAAGCAAAAAAAGACTATGACTGCAACCCTAGTTGCTATCGCCTACTGGGTTTTCCCGCCCTACTGTTCTGTGATTGGCTAGTCTGATTGCTGACACTTCGCCATGCATTACTTTTCCTGGTGTGATCGTGGCTTTAGTAGTTGTCTTTGTCTACGTTCAGACTGCAGGCCTTAATGCTCAATTCCAATTTTTTCCCCCAGATCTGATCTTTTTGTTTGACAGTTGACTAGGGATGCACTAAATGTTCGGCTACCAAAATTAATCGGCCGGCAGACACTGCTGAATTGTCTCGTAGCACATCCTCTCCATCTGTGGCTGAATTCTTAGAAAAGGCAACAAACGGTCTGACCCGCTTTGAGTGTTTCTTTCACTCATTTATGAGAAGGCAATTAAGCTAGCCGCCCCAAAATTTGGAGTGCACACGTCTTCAAGCCTTTATGGTAAATCCACTGAAACGGACCAGTGCGAGCTGACAGGCGGGTTAGCGACTTTTTCCTGTCATTTTCTGTCTTTACAAAGAGAAGTGTTGCAGTATGAGAGTCCTACCTGAAGAGAAGCTATGAAGTCTTCATGTTGCGTGATAGGAGAACCACATACAGCATTATTTGTAAAATTGGGTTGGACTTGATGAGTTTAGCGCGAGGATACACATGTGTCTGGTTTTCAAAATAAGGTGTCTATACAGGAGAGAAATAAGATTAAGTGGATTATATTAACAGAAAGTATAAAACATATTACATGTGTCCATTAATAGTAAATGGACTGTAAACTTCCATCACCACAACTGAGGGCCTGTCTCTCCATTCATTTGATTGGACAATAGAAAAAAAACGCGAATGACACTGCCAATAGAAAACATTAAAATAGGCAAGAAAACAAAAAACGCATTCTGTCTGATCCCAGCCTTAGACAGTTTGGGGATATTTTAAACAGATTATGAGTTTTTCTCTCATCACTCTCTACCTCCCCTGCTTGTATGTGTCGCCGGTTGTTGGCACAGTGTAACATTGGTATCCCGTATACAAAACCTATTGTGAGAATAGTGCAAAGCTTTAAGACACCACGTCACACATCACACACACAAGACTCTTCAGCAAGCTAGCTATAAGAAGAAGCTAGCTCAGTATTCTTAGTATGGATTTAAAGAGAGAGGCTGCAAAGAGGCTGCAAAGAGGCTGCAAAGAGACCGAAAAGACGCTTTTGGAGAAAGTGAGGAAGAGCAAAAGAGAGAGTGACTGAGGCAAGAGACCGGACTAGAGTAAAACGTATGCAGGACAGATACCGAGTTGACCTTCTTGCTGTTGGACTAGAAAGTAATAACTTATTAGCTGGTTTGCTATGTCTTGTCTTTGCCTGTGTTAGCAAAGTTGTCGACTCCAGATAAATCAGCCAGAGATTCCATAGACAGAGTTTTAGACGCTGGCTATAAATCTCGAGTTATCAAGCAGTCAACTACTGAGACAGGCTGAGCAGGTGGGAAGTATTGCATTTTTTCAGCGACGTAACAAGCTGGCCAATCACAACACTGCAGCACAAGTGTTGATGCAAATCTGGTGGGGAAAAAAATAATGCTAACCTTCTCTGTCGCTACGGTTTCTCTGCCCTTCAGCTCTGGCAATCATTGCTTATTGACGTGTGTGCCGCACGGGAATGTCGCCACAGATACCAGATTTAAAAACTCCAATACATTGCGAAATACAGAGAGGCAACACCAAAGATGCAAGCTGGTATTAAACCTCAAATACGAGGGTTAGGGCCACTTGGTTTATTTGCCATTTACAGAGCCAGGGCAGTGTACAAACACCAAATTCTTTCTCAGCGCACATACATAAAGGACAACTGGTGGACCATGAGGAGACATTTGCTGAATTTGACCAAAAGAAGTGTATTGAATTCGCATACCCCACCTTTTGACAGGCGGCATAACACCGGAAACAGTGAAGTACCCTTGACTGCAATGTGCAGATTGGGGTGGTGATCACTGTGGGCCCCGCCCACATGAAAGACACCCGCATGCACAGAAGAATATTACCACATCACACGTAGAATGCTTTTGTACGGAAGTAAACAAAGAGGCCAGGGCTCGCGCTCATGACAGGCTGAATGTGCTGTGTACATGAAGTTATAGCAGCTCCTGTTAAGAGATAATGCGGGAGAGTTATATATCATCTTTACTAAAACAACATAACACAGTTTAAACAATTAACACAGACAAAAACAAGGTTTGACAACTCATCACACATGGCTTCACTCGTGCTCCACAAAAGAGGCAAAGACTTTAAAATTCCTGTTGTCAACTGCCTCCATCTTTTGTTTATACGGGGCTTCTGGGAAGTTCAGCGTGGGCGGGGTCAAACGTTTAACACCGCCCCGATATGCACAGTCAGGGGCTTCTCCAAACACTCACTTGAGCAAAGTTACCAACAAACAAAAAATGTGCAGGAAGTAGGAGAGGCAACAATTTTTGTTTCATTAATCAACTCCCTTGATGGAGATGTCTAACACATACACGAAATCTCACGTTGGTCCACCGCCTAACGATAATCACTTCAACATTATATCGATATATAGAATAGTAGCCTAATATGGATCGTGTGCACTGGTGAAGTAATGTGGCAACAAGCCATAGCCTACAACATATAAATTATTAGCTAATAACAATATATTAAATTGATTTGCAGTAGCCTACTGTTAGCTTATCTGTCCAAAAGGATGTGTCGGTTTTTATGGGTTAGGGTTAGGGATAGGTAGGCTAATAAAAATGTGATTAATTTAATTAAAAACATTAGGTCTGTCTAGTATGTAATATTTAAGTTTCTCTGCAGTTCTAGCTGGTCTATAAGCGCTCTCCATCCTGTAAAATTCCACACCAATATTTACCCTGTTTTACACCTCTTGTTCCATAATCTAATGCTT